CCATAACAAAGAAAGAATTTCCGGAGGATGAGGCCCAGACATCAGGATTTTAAAAAGATTCCCAGGTGATTCTAATGTGCAGCCAAGGTTGAGAACCACTGTCCTAAACAGACGAATGAAAAAAATCTGAAAGACCAGCACCGAAGCGAGAGACCAGGTCGAGTGGGAAAAGGAGACTTGAGCTCAGTGTGCCAGCGGAGAGGCGAGGAGGAGTCAGTCCCGGGGCATCGAGAAAGAGCGGGGGAGGCCTTGAAGCCAGAGGGGAAAGTGCCTTAAACCAGGTGCAGAGAGCTTGGACTTTATTCCATGTGAAAAAGAAGGCAGTGAGCCCTGGCCGGTTTGGCTCAGTGGGTAGAGCGTCAGCCTGCAAACTGAAGGGTCCCGGGTTCAATTCCAGTCAAGGGCACATGCCCGGGTTGTGGGCTCCATCCCCAGTGTGGGGCGTGCAGGAGGCAGCTGATCAATGACTTTCACCATTGATGTTTCTCTCTCGCGCCTTCTCCCTCCCTTCCTCTCTGAAATCAATAAAAATGTATTGTTTAAAGAAGAAGAATGAGTTGCAGAAAGCTTCTGAGCAGTGAAATGTTTTCGGGAGGGTTGAAGGAAGAAGAAGGGAGAGCTGGGAGCTGGGAGCTGGGAACGGCGTAGGGGAGGAGGCTCTAACAGCCAGTGTGAGAAGTGACCCGTTCCTAGAAGATCAGAGCGACTGTCCTGGGGACTCAGCCCCAGCTGAGCTCTCTGTGCCCATGTCTGGTCCAACAGAGGGAGGGGGCATGACGAGTAATAAGAAAAGATCTGTTCTAAACGTAAACCCCCCGGGTGCAAGCAGCTCTGCTCCGAGACCCACTCGCCTGCACGGAATGGGGAGGGGAGAGAGCCAGCCTTCCGTCTTTGCCATTGATTATGGCACAGCTGTGGAATGGTGTCCACTGAAAACAAACTCCTAGACCTGCATGTGCAGCAAGAGAGGAGGCCCTACCAGGAGGGAGAGGAGGCCGTTGTAGGAAATAGGCCTCTGTGGTCCATCTCCAGCATAGTCAACTTTTTAAAATATATATTTTATTGATTTTTTTTTTACAGAGAGGAAGGTAGAGGGATAGAGAGTTAGAAACATCGATGAGAGAGAAACATCAATGAGAGAGAAACATCGATCAGCTGCCTCCTGCACACCCCCTACTGGGGATGTGCCTGCAACCAAGGTACATGCCCCTGACCAGAATCGAACCTGGGACCCTTCAGTTCACAGGCCGACGCTCTAGTCAGGGCACATGACCGCGAGCATAGTCAACTTTTAATGGAAACAGTTACTGAATTTAGGCCAACGCTCTATCCGCTGAGCCAAACCACGACCATAGTCAACTTTTAATGGAAACAGTTACTGAATTTCCCCAGGGCAAGCAATGTAGGGGGGAGGGAAGAGGATATAAGAACAAAGAACTGGGGACGTGAGCCAGCATCATGGTGGAAACCCCCAGGTCCCGGCCTCAACTAGACAGGGGGAGGTGGTGGCAACTTAGAAAAGGCCTAAGCACAATTTTTGTTAATGGCCCAATGGGAGACAATAAGACCTAGGCTACCAATGGGTAAACAGGTGACCCCATAGTACTCAGCCAATGAGGACCCGGAGGAGGGACGGTACTCCGTGTGTGCCTGGACAATGGGACAGTCGCTGCTCTCTCGAGAACGCATTAAAGTCTCGTTTCCCCATACTCTGTCTCCGCGTCCCTTATCGGAATTCG